GCTTGACATCAACCAATGTGATCTCGCGGATGGTGAAAGCGTCACCAGTGACTCTGCACAGCACGTCAACACATTCCGTGGATCTCATAAATGCCATGAGACCACCACGGTGAGAACATAGGATTGGTGAGACCACCATGGCGAGAATATGGGATTCGTGAGGACACCATGGTAAGAACAGCAGAGATGAGCGATCGCAATCACAATCGCGAGGATATCAGATGGACGAGAGCTCCACGGAGTATGGGACATTGTGTCGGTGCCCCGCGAGGTGAGGACGTATAAGTGGTGAGAACATCACGGTGAGAGCTTTCGATTACGGATGGAATAATTGCTCGGACTTTCGTCCTTGGTGGGTTTGTATGTGCAAGCGGTGTACATAAGGGCACACGAGACGACTGTGAACAATTGGTCCGTTTAGGACGCTACTCCGAACAATTATTCCAATAAGCACGACAGTCCTAACAATTATTCCAATCAGCACGACAGCCCGAACAATTATTCCAATCAGCACGACAGTCCAAACAATTATTCCAATCAGCACGACAGCCCGAATACATCCGTACTCCTACTGCTTCGTCTCAATCTTTAAACTGTAGCTTTCGAAGAGCTGTGGGCTGGGACAGAGTTGCTAAAATCATATTTCCTGCATGCTGATAATTGCCTGGAACTTCATTGCTCTTCACTGATTCCTGGACCTCTCGCATCACTCTTCACTGCTCTCAGGACCTCTCCCAATGCTTCGAGTGATCAACCAGCAGCTACTCTTGAAAGTGGAGCACCAGCTGCCCTGGCTCGTCTTGGTTTTCAGATTCAGTCTGTTGAGCAGCTGACAAACATGTAAACCGTCATCTCTGACAGTTTCCCGCAGATTTCATCAGCGTCAGTCAAGGCTTTTCTTTTGGGCATTCTTTTTTCTATATTTTCGACAATGGTCTTAGGCTGTGTGGGTGCCGCGCATGTCATGCGGTGGGATGAAGAATCCTAGTTTTGGTGGAGGGATAGGAGCACCTCTTCCTGACCTCGATTCTTTCTTGACCACTCTTGGAGTGCTCCGGGCTTCTTTTCACACCGGGATCCACAGACATGGCCTTAAATAAAGCTTCAGAGCTCGTTACTGTCAGATTCACTCAAGCTTGACGAGGCATTACACCACCAGCTTTTGGGTTGCGCGAGTTTTTAGTGCCTGTAAACTTTGACGTAATATTTGTCGAGAATGTCTGGAGGATTCACATGTTCAGTTTTCATCAGAAAATCCATGCTATCATCATCCGCCTGGTTCACGTGCACTTCTACACCCCGTTCTTTTGTCTACCCACTTGTGTACATGGTGTCAGCTCGCGCTCCTACTTAAGCGCTCGGCATCAGCCAATGGTTTGATAAAGAACAAGCAGCATCAAAATAACTTCACTCCGGCATCATTTCTGGCCGATGTAATTATCATATACATATGCCATGCAGGCTGTTTTGGGATGGCCCAACGTTTGTGAAATGCATTTTCATTTTCCACGAACTGAAGCTTTCCAACGGATCGCAGGCTTTGAAGTTTCGCAGCTTAAAGCCAACTCAAAAGTCAGAACGTCTTACTCGCATTAGTCTTCCGGCTGGTGATCTGTTGCTCTCCATGTGGGAACAAAGGATGGAAAGTGTCGCCTCGTTTGGGACTGCGTCCCTTTGTGATGGCTTGGCGTGTGATGTTGAAAAATATTTCCTGCTAAATGAAAACTCAAAGCACTTTACAATTGGTTTGAGTGCATGTCAAAGTGTCGAATATTGTTTTGAAATGTATTACGTCTTTTAAGGCGCAACAAACTTTACATTTTACTTAAACTTGAAATTTGTATCTATTATTTTTTACTAAACTTTGCATTTTCACGACGCAGCAAATTTTACATTTTAACGTCAGAGACTTATTAACCTCAGCGCAATGTAATAGCATGCTTCATAACCCATGCAAGCGTGCACACGTGCTGCTTTGTGGCAGTGTATCCCCAGAAACTGTGTTCTAGTGTTCCATTACTGATTCACCGCTGTTGGCCGCTGTGCTCCGCCGTTGAGCACTGCACTCGACAGCCCTGCATTCACGCCTCACCCACGACCCGCCGCCCCGACGCCACCCCGCCCCGTGCCCTGGTGCTGACCCACCAGCTGCACCGTCGTGCCCCGCCGTTGACCCACGCTCCTGACGCTGCTGTGCTCTGTGCTCCAGTGCTCCTTCACGCCGGGCCGCGGCTGGGTTCGCGGCGGATACGTGTGCCGATGCCGCGCCGGGTTTTACGCCAGTCGGGGCAACCCCACCTTCGACGGTACAAATGTGGAGGGTAAGTACAGGGGGCGTTGTGGGTGGTCTTGCTGGGCGCTCGCTGAGAAGGTGACGGCTTTCGTCGATGCTGGCGTCCTGCAAGAGGGATGCATGCTGCCTGGCGCTCTGAGATGTTAAATGGAATGTTTCACATTTGAAGGCAGGTGAGCCCCCTCCCCATTTCCCTGAAAATGTAACACTGGCCCTATGGGCGTTGACTGGAAATAAGTAACCAAGACTGGTTACCTGGGCCATCTCCCCCCCCACACACACACCCCACACCCCACACCCTTCTCAACTTGTGAGAACTTTCGCTGTCTCTGTCGTCCACGTTGCGAACGATATGACAGCTTTCTGACCCGGCTTAAGCCGATTTAGCTGGAAGGGATCAATGACGTCATCAGATCACGGCTTTACGATCCCAGCAACTGTCGGGCGGGTAATGGTCGGGGAAATGGAGGCTGCCAAGGAGAAATAACCGCTTTCATCAAAGCAGAATGGGGGAGTTACGCTGCTAAGGAGGGAAAGGTGAGGAAGGAGGAGAGGGGTACCGAAAAGCCAGACTGCTGAGCGCGTCAGAGACGCGGCCCGTGGACTGGAATAAAATAAGGTGTACATCTGAATTGGGACGGGACATTGGCTGCTTTAATTGAGAAACGTTTCAACGAACGCATCCTTTGAAACTTGAGGTGCTTGGCCTCACGTGTGTGAAACCAAGCGAGTTATTGCCGTCTGCAAGTAATTATATACTTTAGGCGCTACTTTTACTGTAGCCTCGGAACATGAATGATGCCTCCAACCTTACGACAGTGATCAGTGTGATTTAATGCATCGTATATACTAGAAGCTGCCCACTTTTATTATCATCTCCGCTGATGCGATGCTGATCCACCCAGTAAAGGAATATATGTGGTTGGAGCTGAAATTCAATGCGTTGCGAACATATATATTCATCTATTTATCTATTCAAAAAAAATTATATTCGTACCAGCATTTACTTGCCATAAATAGTAAACACAGCAAACACCTATTTGCACCCACTTTTCCAAATAGCTCGTGCTGTTAGCCCCCTCAGCGTTTCATATTCCGGGGAGCATCATCTGCCTCCAGCCGTGAGCTTCTGTAATGCTCCGACTCACCCGCCAGTGCCGTCTTCTCCGCCGCCGCCACCGTCTGCCAACGTGCCACCGCACCC